TACATTACATTACATTACATTAAACATTACATTACATTACATTACATTACATTACATTACATTACATTATACATTACATTACATTGCATTACATTACAGTACAGTACAGTACATTACATTATACATTACATTCCATTATAACATTACATTGCATTATTACATTACATTATTACATTACATTACATGTATACATTACATTACATTACATTATACATTACATTACATTATACATTACATTACATTATACATTACACATTACATTACATTACATTACATTACATTATACATTACATTAATTACATTACATTACATTACATTACATTACATTACATTACATCACATTACATTAAATTACATTACATTACATTACATTACATTACATTACATTACATTACATTACATTACATTACATTACATTACATGCATACATAATTCATATCATACATACATAACACACACATACATCGCTCCATCTAAGACCCTTAACACTGCAACCCGAAACCACACCATGGTAAATGCAGACCTTGTACCTGCAGGCGCCGATCCCAGATCGTCTGTACGACCGGAGGACCGGCGGGTTGCAAGCTGAGCCTGAAGGGCTTGGATCCTCGCTTTGGAAGCCTTAGTGGTCAGCTGTGGGCTTTGGTCGGGGTTACTATATGTAAGACATTCGAATCTCGGTGGCATATCATATTGCTGACAAAGAACTGCAATGCGAGCTTGCAGATCAGTCTTGGAACTCTGATCAGCCATCGAATTGCGATCAAGCAGTGCAATCCCTTCCTGCAAAGAATTACAAGACCCTCGCCGGGAAGTCATCGACACAAAGCCTACTCCTGGAAGCTGTCCGGCCACACATACAAGCCAACATGTTAACAACTGTATGACCAAGCACGATGAACATCATGTGCTGCTTGCACAGCCACTGAGAGCCCACCTTTTGCCAGGGATTGGGGGCATCCTTCCGATCTTCGGCTTCCACGAGGCCACTGATCGAATTTACAGCCGCTTTTTAGGAAATCCAGCCGAGGGCTAAGTTGCGATTGATACGCTTTTGGGGTTTGCGGACGGTTGCGGTTATTTGCGGCCGGGTTGCGGTTATTTGCGGCCGTTCTGCGGGTAAAAAGGTCCGGGGGTGGTTGTACTTAGAGCACCAGAACACCATAAACACAAAAGAGTCCGGACAGTTTGCGGCATAACACCCAAACAGCGCTTTTGAAGTGCTTTTGGGCAGGGGCTCTGTTCCAAAGCTCCCACCACCGCCTTTAAACTAGTCTTCGCGAGAGGCCCCGGATCTACGTCTGCGGGAGGCCTTCTGCTGAACCTTGGGGGGTCTGGGCCCAAAAGCCTGCTTATAATCCCTTCTGGCTAGGCTTTGCAGGTGTTGCGGGGTTGCGGGGCGTTGGGGTTTGGATTAGGGTGTCATAGAACGCTGGGCTTCGGTTTCAAAGGCTCGCCTAGCTGGTTTTGTGGGCTCTCGGACTTTTAATAAGAAGCAAGTCCTTCCGGATAGGCTTTCGAGGCGGCTTGTTCCAAAATAGGACTCTCGGGTTATAGGTTTCCCAGGGGCCTGGATCCGAACTTTACACATATACCCTTAGGCTTCCAAGTGTTTGCGGCTGGGGGGACCCGGATCAAGGGCCCAAGGTTAAAGCTTCAAACCAGCTAGTGTTTGCAGGGCCCAGGTGAAAGAGCCACTAAGCCCTTGATTATATAAGCTGTGGGGCCCAGGTTCAATTTGGGGCTTAGTTAGGGGGTTTAAGGGTCTTCGGTTTCAGGGTTTAGGGGTTTAGGTTTTGGGATTGTACATGATATACAGCTTATATTAGAAGCTATTTGTGGTTTGGTTCGGATCCCAAGCCTTTGGCTAAATCCTTCTAGCAAGGCTTGCAGGGGTTCAAGCCACGGCTGCTACACGGAATTCGAAGACTGCTGAATTAGCTCTTGCAGTTCAGTTCGCAGATCATCAGATCCACATGCCTTGGGTACGGAGGGTGGCTCTGCTAGTTTCATGACATGAATCTACTGTCTAGAGCCAAGGCACAGCAGCTAGAACTTCTGCTCGGAATCGTTCCATCGAAGCGTGCCAGCTGTCTGGTATCCTGTGTTATCACTGTAGCAGACTTATAATTACACTGGCTGCAAAAACCGGGCAGCTTGTTGAACCAAGAAGCATCACATGTTTGCATTCGTAAAGATAAAGAAACACTTCGTGAACACGACTGTCCAACCACACGTCGCCGAGTGGGAGATCATCGAATATCTCCCTGTCGCTCTTCCGGTAATCTATCGCCTCGCGACCTCGTAGATCAGCTCGAGCGGAAGCGGGCAGCGCCCGCCAGTTTTCGTAGGCCTTGAGCAGGTTCGCCCCAAAGGTCGTGGTGTAGGCACTTAGTGCGTAGGCTCAGGCTGGAAGCTTTTCGGGTCAGGGATCAGTGAATCAGAAGTCACTAGCATGCTTTATGATTGGCAATGTTGTTTTGGATTGCAAGGTTGGGTTGGGGGGTAGGTAGGGTAGGGGGTAGGGGGTCGGGGGTAGGTGTATAGAAAAGGGGTGTAGGTTCGGTTTAGTGAATCCGTAAAACCTATAAATCAAGCACTACAAAATGTCATTATTCCTACCTACCTACATACCTACCTACCTACCTACCTACCTACTTACCTCCCTGCCTGCCTGCCTGCCTGCCTACCTACCCACCTACCTACCTACCTACCTACCTACCTGCCTGCCTACCTACCTACCGGGTCGCGCAGGGTCGGGCAGGGTCGGGTCGGGTCGGGTAGGGTCGGGTCGGGTAGGGTAGGGTAGGGTAGGGTAGGGTAGGGTAGGGGTAGGGTAGGGTAGGGTAGGGTAGGGTAGGGTAGGGTAGGGTAGGGTAGGGGTAGGGTGGTAGAGGTAGGGTAGGGTAGGGTAGGGTAGGGTAGGGTAGGGTAGGGTAGGGTAGGGTGGGGTGGGGTA